AATCCACTTTATGTGTTAAAAAATTTTTTTTTTGTTATATTGTGTACTTAATAATATTCGTAGATCAACGGTATTTTAAGAAAATTACCCCCTTTTTACTGACTGCACTGCCTACAATAAGAGAGGTATTGTGATAGGATCAAATTTCCCATTTCGTGTTTTCAACAGAATGTTTCGATTATATAACTGAATTATAATTGGTTGAATCGATTTTTCTGAAAATTTTGTATTTGAGTTTGTTTTCGTCAATTTTGGGCAACTATAAAGAAAATACTAAGCAGATTTTGTAAGTATGGGTTTTATATGACTACATTCAACGAATCGCCTACCATTTCAAGCAAATAGGTTCTGCCTATCAGGTTTTTTCTACGGGTTGTATTTAGATTTTTGTCTATTCTATACATATATAGAAATAAAAACCATCCCCTCCATTTAAATGAATTAAAAATTTTAGCTCAAATTGCTAAAACAAAGAACTAGCAAATTTTTCGGGAATGTAACTGTTCAGGACCCGAACTTTCAGAAGGAGCCAAATATATCTAAAGAACTAATTAATAATTTTTTATAATATAAAGCTTTAATTTTGTCTGTGGTTTATCAACAAATATCTTGTAGCAATACTTTTACTAAACTATAATAGAAACGGTTTTATTAAAATTTATTTGTATTATTCAGAACATACACAAAGCTGTCGGTTATGATGGGACCACATCAGATTTTTTTTATGTTGAATAACTTTTTTCTATAAATAGGTTATAATAATAGTTGAGAAAAGGCACATTTTCAATTCAACTTTTTATATAATATGAAGGTATGGGTTCCATATATTTATATGTGTACATTTACATGTCTTGTAGAAAAGGCTTGGCTGTATATAAATGGGGGAGCACGATAAACACATACAGACGATTAAGCGATTTTAAGAATGATTGTTTTTTTTTTTTTGTTCACAGTTTCATTCTGGTTTTTAGATTATTATTATTATTACTGTTATATATACCTATATCTTTCATATATCAATGGAAACTCCTGAAGGCTAAGGGAAATTTTTGTGTAAAATTGTTTTTTTTTTGTTGTTGTTGTTTTTGTTAAAAGAAAGGGAGCTTCAAACGATTTGGTTGAGCAATGAAGGACTTTATTTATCTATATATAAATATATAGAAAAATAACAAATTGTGTCAACTTGCATGTTAAAAGAGGAACATTTTTTACAACAAAAAAAGAAAACAAAAGGAAAACAAAAAGTTCTTTTGTTGAAAAATCTGAGCGAGTGTATATTTTATTAGCTTATTTAAACACTTTGCCCTTTTAAGTAGATGTTAAATTGTTATTTGTTTGTTTGCTATTCTTGTGTTGAATAATGTTTAACTTTGTGTTCGGAAGTGCAATGAATAATTTATTATCAAGTTATGGTGGTTGTTTTTTTCACTGTTTTCGCTTTTTTTTTTTTTGGTTCTGACTACTTTTGTAGCAAAGTTTTTTTGAGTTATTAGCTTAAGGCTAAATGTTGTTTCATTTATTGTTTTGAAATATAAAAAATATATACGTATTACAGATATAGTCACTGTTATACGGTATATAGTATGTAATGTGAAAATAGCTTTAAAAAAATTGTAGGTGAGTATAAAGAGATGATAGAGGTAAAAATGAATTTTGATGAATTTAAAATATGGCGGAGGAAAAAAATAATAAAATTCAATTTTTGATAACAAAATTTCCTTCCTTTCCTTTATCCCTTTCCGTTCTATATCATCATCAGTCTATATATTCATTTTGATAATTTGATTTGGTTTTAGGTTATTATTGTTTTAAATGTTGGATAATTGATTATTTATGATTGCGATTATTTGCATTTGTATTATGATAATTTGATTTACAATTAGTAGCTCTTACTCGTATAATAGAAATTGAAAATATTTCAATATTATTTTTGTTTCATTTTTTAATTAGTTTTTCAATTAAAAATAATAGAAAGAAAAAATAAAATTAAATAAAAATTTTTAGTGTATATAATTAGAGGATTATCGAAATATTACCTGGTTAGTGTATTTAATATGTTAAATTTGTTGTGTGGAAATAGATGTGGGAAGATGGTATTTGTATATGACTATAATTATGTTTAGATAAGTCTATAATTTTGAACTGATTTCCGAATCATATTTGAAGGCCGTGTAGAAGTTGTATTAAAATTTTGCACCTTTAGAGGAATCAATGTTGATCTTATTTCAAATAAAATAATTCTAATATAAAAAATTCAAATTGTGGACTGTAATACTTGGAGCAAATAAATCATGCAGACGTTGATGCTATTATGAATATTAAAGCAATTCTATAGTTGAATTTGCAAAGGAATATTGAATTATATGAATTTTTCCATTAACCTGCTCTAGAGTCTGGTTGCCGAATTGTTATATATTTTAAATATTATTATAAGTATTCATAGATAGTTTTAGTTTAGTTATTAAGTTTTAGCATAAATAAGATTCAGAAAAGGTTTTTATACACTCCATTTTCCTTAATTAATAAAGTAATAAGTTAAGTTCTAAAATTAAAAGAGAAAAAAAATAATTAATAATATTAACAGCTGTAAAGAATCAAATTTCTGTATCTCTGTAAATATAGTATATAATTATAAGAAAATTTGTCAATTTATGGAGTTAAATAAATAAATAAATAAATAAGTATTCATTTAAAATTAAAACAAAAACTGTAATAGGTTCTCCAATTTACGGAAAAATTCCATACAAAACGCATTCATGTTTGTACAAAGATAATTTCATTGTTATTAATAAGGGTAACTTAAACGCAGACATAAAAATAAATTTCCAATTTAGAGAGAGGAAAAATAAGAATAATGGTGTTGTTTTGTAAATATTACAATTTGAAAGACGTATATTAATTTCAAAATTAATTTAATATAAAATGAGTGAATACTTATTGACGAAGAATTAAATTACTATTATGTTACTATTATATTATTATTAAACTCTTTTCTTCTCTCTAATTTGTAAATTTATTTTGTTTTGACATTTTATTAAAGCTCGAATATGATTTGCTCATTTCTCTTTTAGATAAAGGAGTAATTTTACGACAAATAGAAATCTAAACAATTTAAAAGGACTCTAAATGTGGAAATGAACTTGGTATAAAAAAGTTTCTGCAGTATTTGATTGGTATTTTATTGAAAACGGAAAATTCTTGGACCATTGGAAATAATTTAGTTTTCTCATGCGGGGCTTCAAGATTTTTTTATTTCAATTCTATATAATTTTGCTGTTATCGTATTGCTGCTAAAATTAAAAGATCAAAAAATTAATTTAATATAATTGTCAACTTTTAATTTTTTTTTTATTTCTATTTAATATACAACATGGTGATTTTTAATATCAACTGTTATTTTCTTCTGGTTTCATTAATTTTTTTCAAATTTTTTTTTTCAAATGAAAAATATTTTTATATAATTAAAATTATCATTATTTACTTTTAACTAATTTATTTGATTATTCTAATTTTTAATGTTTTTTTTAATTTTATAAATTTAAAATCAAAATAATAATAGTAATATCACAAAATTAATCTTAATTAATATGTATATACATATGTAATATAATTTTATATATAAGAATTTAAAAATAAAAATTAATTTAAGAATTTTATAAATATTTTTGAAATTGTTAATTTTTTTTGTATTTTTTTTTCATAATATTCTAAGTGTTATAATAATTTTTAATATTGCATTTCAATTGAAATTTTCCATTGTGTTTAATACTGTTATAATGTATGTACATATATGTGTAATCGAATTTTATATCTGAAATTTTATAAAATTAATATTTTATTTATTAAGGTTTTTAAATGTTCATTCATATATAACGGGACATTTAATTGTGACATTTAAATTGAAAATAAATTGAAAACTACTTGGTAATGCCAGATGACAATTAAAATTACAAATAGGTATAAATTTGTTGACAATACCATAACAATATTAAAAATGTACTCGTAAAGAGCAGAAAACAAACATGATTAATTATGCCGCAGCGGAATATTTAATTTTATTTATTCGTATGTGATCTGCCGCAACTGTGAAAGTCGTATGAATTCTCAGTGTTTGAAAATTTGCTTTCTTTTTATTCAAATTTAACAACTACATTTGCAATTTAGATGTCACAGTGTTTACGGTACATTCTTTTGATTATTTATTTTTATAATTTCTATTACTTAAATTTTAATTTTATACAATTGTAGGTTTTCAAATACTATGGTTTTTTTCTGGATTTTTTAAATTAATATATGTATATGCTTGTTCTATTTATGTTATAAATTTAAATTACATTTTTTTTATAATAATTAGAATTATAGTTGTTATACACAATATTATGTTTACATGTAATTTTTTTTAAATATTGAATATTGAACAATTTATTTTGATTTTAGATTTTATTTTAAAAGTGTTCTAGAGAAGTGTTCTAGAAAAATTGTAATTTAAAATTAGAATATAATTTTTTAATTTGCACTGTTTTGTATAAGTAACTATGAGCGTATGTCCTTAGGTTTCGAAAAAATTTGTAAAATAATATTAGAGTATTGAGAAATTTAAAAAACTGAAATTATATGTTAAAGCTTTAAAAAGAAAAGAATTTAAAGAGAAAATTTAAGAAAAGAATTAAAACATTCATATTATAGTATTAGTAAATGTTGTATAGGCTTAGCAGTTTAGCCTTGTGACATAAGTGTCGTAGTTTTACCGTCGGCAAAAATGCGGTTATATAGGAAATCATGATATTAATTACTTTCTAAGAAATCTTAAAGACAGCATTTATTGCCAATCAATTTTCCATTCTAAAATATGATTTTAATAAAGGTTCTCAACTGTAACTAAAGTTGTCAGCTTGAATTAATAAACAGTAAATCGATCTAAGCTTTAAAATAAAAAATAATATTAATGCGCTCATTTTTATAGCGATTTTTTGATAAACTATGATAAGAAAAATATGATAGTTAAAATATTTTTAAATTAATTTTTAATATAATTTTAGGATTCTTGAGTTTTTTTTAAACTCATTTGCTCCAGTTCTCAAAATTTCCACATAAATTAGTTCCCAACTCTATTTTGCTTCCATACTTAGTTATTTTAATGCAAATATCTTCAATGGGTCCAATTTTCTATTTGCTTCTAACTAGTTACTATTTTCATTTAGGTTCCAAACATAATAACATTAATTTTACATTAAAAGTTTAATTCCCTTTCGAAACTGTATATAATTTTTTTTACTGTACACCTGTAATCGATAAATTAAATGACATATTGCTAATTACCATTTATATATAGCTCTAATTTTTTTCCGGATTATGTAGATAATTTCAAAATATTGAATTATTAAATCAACTATGAAAATATCTACCAGCGTTAGATCATTTCTTTTCACTTCCTTTACCATTATGATCGTTTCGTAAATCGGTATCATCACTTTCTTTATCTTGATGTGCTGTCATATGTCTCGTTAAATGATGTCTTTCACGAAAACTTTCACAACAAACTGGACATTTTAATTTCTCTTGTCGTTTTCTACGATTTGGATCAATTGTTGATTCACTTTTATGATGTGAACGCATATGATAAACTAAATCACTTGTCATTCTAAATGATATATTACATTTAGCACAAACATTTTGTGATGTTAATGAAAATGTTGATGCTAATGTTGGTGGTATTAATGCTGTTAAAACAGCAGCTGCTGCCGGATTTCTTATAATTTCTGTTGGTTGTGGTACAAATGGATTTGGATTTGCAAATGGAAAACCAGCTGGTGGTAAATAATTTGGATTTGATAACATATCTGGTGAATTATTTGGTGTAATTGGTCTATATAATAATTGTTGTTTTAAACGTGTATTCTGTAATGCTAATGCATGTGCTTGACCAACTGTTTGAAATGCTGCTGCACCATTAAATTGATATTCAGGTCGAAAATGTTGATAAAAATTATTTGGTGTTAATTGTATTGGTCCACTATTATTATTTGATGTACCACCACCATTAGTGTTACCATTTCCAGAATTACATAATCTAATTGGTGGTGTTGTTGATATTGGTGGACTAACTGATGAACAACTTAATTGACTTGGACTAATTGATGGTGTTGTTATTGTTTGCGGTGAATCTGTATTCCTTTGTGAATGTATAACTTTTGTGAATGCACTTTTTGTATTTTCAATTTCTGGTATTATTGTTGGATCATCATAGATTCTTGGTGATGCAGGTGAATTAATTGTTGAATTTTTTTTTAATTTACGTAAATCATTATGATTATTATTATTATAATTATTGTTGTTGTTATTATTGAAAAAATCAGCATTATTTAAATTATTTTGCATCATTAAATATGCTTGATTATGATTTGGTGATAAATCTTTTGGATATGATTCAACATCAATTGTTTCTTCAATTTTTAAATGTTTTTCCATATTTTGATAATATGTTTTATGACGTAATTTTTCATCGGGCATCATTAAGAATGCAACATCAAATGAACGTTTTAATGATGTTGTTGTTGTTGATTTTAAATTTGTTGGTGATGTTACTGTTATAAAATCATCAGATTTATTATTATTAATTGTTGTTGTTTGATGCTGGTGTATTGGTGGTGATGATGATGTTGTAATTTCTGAACGTTGTTGTGTTGTTATATCCATTGTCATTTTTAATGTTTTAAATTTTAATTTTTTTTTTCTATGTTTTTCTTTATTTAATAATTATTTGGAATATTTTATTAAATATTATATAATCAAAATTATATGGTAATTTTTATTTTTATAGTTAATTAATGGTTAATTTTATTAAATTTTTATATTTTAATAATTTATTAAAATTTATTTTAAATATTTTTGAATTGTTTTTGAAAATCTAAAATTTTATATAGAGTTATTTGGAATTTTCTTATATATAGCAATGCACTGAATATTAATATTAATAAAAAATTTATTATTTTCACAATAATTAAGAAATATAATTTAAATAAATGTAATTTAATTTAGTCAGTGTCTTAATTATCGTTACAATTATTTTAGTTTTATTATCGTTTTCATATTTCATAAATTTCAACCTTTTTATTTAACAAAAAGGCAATCTTATAAAACAATTTAATCCAAATTTTTTTTTTTCACATAAAATCTTAAATAATTTTAATATTTTTATAATTTTTGAATAAATTTTATTTAAATCACCATTTTATTCTCTAATTATATATGCTTTTCCCAAATTCAGAAAAATCAAAAATTAATTATAAAATTTACAAAATTGTATACGAATGCAAAAAAAAAAACTAAAGCAAACTTTTCTAATTCGATCATTCCTATTTGAATGTTCAACACAAAATATTCACCTTCGTCAATCTGTTATTCTTTAAATATCCTTTTTAGAACATCCCATTTATATATAGAGTAAAATATTCTTATTGAAAAATCTAAAATAAAAATGAAGAAAAAAATATACAATACAATTTTTTTTTTCGAACAATAAAAATCTGCACGATATCCTGAAACATAAGGATATTTTGTATTTTTTTTTCTTTATTTTTATTTTTTTTTTTTGTATTTTGAATGCAATAATAATAATAATAGAGGGTTTACTTTTAACAATATTTATTTTCTAACTATTTTCAATTCAACTCATATACATATATATAAAAATTCTGTATACTATATACATTTGTTACACACATACAAACTAATGTACATAGCTACCATATCTAACTGCAAATTGGAATGGTATGTATGTATATGTGTGTGCATATGTGTATAAATCTACAATTTTTATTCTTATATTCACTAATTTTGTTTTTGTTTTGTTCTTTATATAATTGCAGGAATCTTTTCTACGTCTGCTTTCGAATTTACCAACATATTGGATTTTTTCGAAAAACAGTTTTATTATTTTATATAAACATTTGTTTTATTCAAATTTTTATTTTCTGTTTTTGTTATTTTTGATTTTAGGATTTTTTCCCTTTCCATTCACAATATTTTATATTATCCTTTAAAATATATATATATATATACGAGAACCGTTATAATATCATATGTCTGCAAAAAAAGAAGAAGATGAAAAGAAAAATAAAAAAAAGAATATGGTAAATAAAATTGGTGGATATTTTTAGTATATATATATATATGTATGTATATATATACAGGAATTATAGGGTATGCAGAAATTGAGGTGGAGTTATAATAAATATGGTTCTTATATGAAAATTTGTTAAACTGCAAAGGACTTTTGGAAAAATTTTTTTGAGAAGAAAAAATTAATATTTTTTTTTTTTCAAAAGGATATTTTGAATTTTGAATTTTTTTTTCTTTATTGTTTTAAAGAAAATATTTTGATATTTTGATCTTTATTACGTTAAGTTTATTGGATATGTTTGTATGTATGCAAGTATATACATATTTTACAATGTAGCGCTTAATTATATGTGTATATATTTCATATTTATGTAGATATATGCTTGGAATTTGAAAATATATTGAAAATTCGGACAATATAATAGCTAAAGATGCCTTGCTTGCTTTAGTAAAGCCCTTTAAAAATGGTTTGGTTTTTTCAATTTGTTTCTTATCATTGTGTTCTTTTTTCTTTGAAATTTTTGAATTGTAAAGTAAATAATAAAAAGATAAAGAAAAAAATTATTATATATTGTGGGGCGGTCTATTATAATTTTATTTCAATATGAAAAATTTGTTTTTCTTTCTTGTGTAATTTATTTTTGTTTTTTATTTATGTAAAAGGTTCTTGTATAATTTTCACATTTTTCTTATAACGGTAGGAATTTTTGATTTCCTTGAAACGGTAGGCAAAAAAAAAAAAACAAAAAAAAAAAAAATTGATATTGTTCTTATCATAGGGTTTTTGTTTTTTTTTTTTTTTCGAATAACAAAAAATAATAAAAAAGAAGGCCAAACAATATTTAATTCTGATGTGGATATACTCAGTTTTATTTGTAGTATATATTAATATACTATAGTATATAGGTGTGTATGTAGCGATAATTCGTTTACATTTTTTAGGTACACATATTCGTTTACATGTATATAAGATTTAAATATATGTATGTACATAATGTACATTATACATATGATATTAAAGTAGAATTAATATTTTGTATGAGTATATCTGTTTTAAAAAAGTCGCAAGTTCAATTATTGTTATAATTGAGAAAATATTGTCTGTTACATATAAGTATATCCACTGACCAGCACACCAATTTGACCAACCGAGGTAATATCTGTTTGTCTGCTTCCTGACCTACCCAGTTTGAAGGAAAACAGTGATGTTATTAAAGCAGATACGAGTATTTAAATTCCAGCAAGCAATTTTAGTTCTTGTTGGAATATTTTAATTATATCTAACTGGAAGAATTCAGTTTCAATTTCCAATAGATTTCGATTCTGTACGATTCTGTCTAATTCAGAAAAGGGGGACGCTATAGAAGAAAATTTGGCTGTAATAAATAATGTATTTTGAATAATGCTTAGGAAAATTATTTTAAAAATGAGTAAAAAACCGGTTTAAGGTTACGGTTAATTTGAAAATTTGATTTGACATGTTTACATTTGCCTATTAATTTTTTATTCTAGAAAAAAAGCTTGCCAACCTTCTGCGGTTCAAAAATTTACCAATTTGTTTGTGTTAATAGAGACTCGTAAGCGAATTTTTTTTAAAATTTTCTAAATATACAAAAGAATCTTATATCGGATGAGGGAATATCTTAAACTCCTCATAACTGAGAAATTCAGAATTTTAATAAATGAATTAAGATAATATACTACTCGTGATGTACTCGCACGTACGTACATATATATATAAAAAAAAAAAAAATTTTGAAATTACTAACTGAAATTCTTAGAAAATGGACTTAACTAATTTCAAAAATTATTTGCTTGTGTCACATATTAAAGTATACGTACATGGTTCTACATACCAAATCTATTGTATTTTAATCTACTTATTATTATATACTTGCAGATATTATACAGTATGTACATAAGTATGTATATTCATATAATATACATACTTATATTTAGAATAATACGTGAACATGTAATAATAGATATGATTGTTGCATGTGTTTATCTTGTATGTATGTATGTATATAAAATTTACACTTATTTACATATACTTATAACATGCTTATATATGTGATGCTCATGTATATATAAATTTTTTTTTTTCAATTAAGATTGAATAAGTATATAATATTGTCCTTTTACTGAGTACATATGTATTTTCAATATTGTATAAAATGTAAGTATGTTTGTATGTATGTAGTAATACAGATTGTACATAATGTTATTTATTGTGTATTAATAGAAATGATTTTTTTTTTTTTGTGCTTTTCATATGTACCGTTTTATAGGTTTTTTTTTTTCTTACTGTTAAGATAAATTTGTTGTTTTTGTTGGTTTTTTTTTTGCTGATTGTAGTTTCTTTATTTACAATAAATTTAATGTGTGTATATGCTTTCTTTTTCTTGCATATATCCAAGAATAACAAGGATAAAAATTGAAAGGAATAAAAAGCAAAAAAAAAAAAAAAATGTTTGTAAGTTTCGGGAACTTCTTTTGAATGTACGTACAGGAAACAAAAAATATGTGTGGTGTAAGTATATTGAGCTTTTCAGTGTTTGTTTGTGGTTCTGTTTATAATTTTTTTTTTGATATTTATTTTTAAATATTAAGGTTTTTTTTGTTGCTCAAACAAATTGGTATGGTAAATATGGAAAAAAGTGTAAGTTATTTTTTATTTCTTCTGTTTTCTTCTCTTTTATATTCGAATATTGTTATTTTTTATGATTTCAGTTGGAGTATGCATACAGTATGTATATATATGTATATATATATTTCAATATAATATAACATACAATATAACTCTTATAAGAACAGAAAATTTTGTTAAAATGGAAAAGCGGAGTACACTAAACAAAAGAAAATCTACTGAATTTTCTTCACTTTATTCCCGAAAAAGATTTTTATCTTTGTTATAAACAATATGAAAAATGGATTCTTTTATGCGATAATATTAATTTTTTTTTTAACATTATGCTCATGTACACTTGTATACACACACAACGAATATAGTGTAAGTGTAAATTTATTTTAAATGAAATTCTTTGTTTCATTTTTTTTGTTTTTGGTAACAACAAGAAATTGTGTAAAATTAATTATACTTATAATTTTTTTTTGTATAAAAACATTTTATTAATTAATATTAATTTATTTTTGTTTGAATTATGCGGTAAAAACAAAAAAAATATCATTATATTTTCTATCATCGGTTCAATGGTTCATCGGTTATGAACAAGTTTTGTCATTAATTTTCTAATTTTCATTTTTAATGGAAGTTGAATTTTTTACTTCGAAAAAATGTTGACCCCTGAAAGTTTCATTTGTTTGTTATTAAATTTTTTTTAGTTTAAAGTTATTTAATTTATTTTTATTTATTTATTTATTTCCCTACAGTCCAAAGAGAAATTAACTCGTTAAAAGGAAACGAATTTTTAAATTTCATTTCAGAATGGAAAAAATCAAAACTAAATCTTAAATTATAATGATTATATTCGAATTTAATGGAAATTAATTAATGAAAATTATTTTTACATTGCAATAAAACTAAATGAAAATTTTTATGAAAATAAATAACAGGTCAA